CGGGACTTGGACTGTGGTCAGTCATGGGGGAGTGTAGCACCTTTAACCACCTGCTGGCTCCAGAAGTAAATAATCCTTTTTAAAAAAATTATTTATTTAATTTTATTAATTATTATTTTTAAAATTTTCTGTAGGGCACATGCACTCACCAGGGAGAGACGGAGAGAGAGAGGGAAAGTAAGAATGCAAGCTGCCAGGCAGGACCCCAACGACAGTCAGCCATGGAATCAACAAGAGAAAGACATCAGGGAGCCATCCACGTGTCGTGGTCAATGTGCTGGATCCCACATGGCCGACTGAGTAGTCTGAGTCTCGGACCTGCAGCTTGAAAAACATGCCAGGTATGTGTGCATGCATGCCCCAAATCCTGAGGGGCGAGTGGAGGAGGCGGACTGCGGCATGACCATCCCTCCTGGAGGGTGCTATCTCACTTCCCTCCTCTCTCTCTCTGTTTTCTCTGCTCAAGGCATGTGCCCTCTGCCAAAGAAAGAAAGAAGGATGGAAAAAGACATGGCAGAGAGAAACGGGCGTGAGTCCTGAAAAAGCACCTCAGAACAGGTTTCCAAGCAGCTAACAGGGTGGGTCCTGTAGCGTAGAGGCGAAGGAGCCAATCCCACATGGCTGACAGTCGTTTGAATGCCAGACCTGGTGGCTTGAAAAACATACCAAGTGCGTGTATGTGTGCCCAAAATCTTGACAGGGTGGAGAAACCGAGACGGGACTGTGGTGTAAGAATGGCCCACTACGGGGTGCTTTCCTCCCTCTCTCTCTGTCTTTCTCTGGCAAGTGCACACACCCTTGGTTATAAAAAAAAACCCAAAAAACCCAGCAAATAGTTAACAGACACATGAAAAAGTACCCAGCCTCATGAGTAAGCAGGGAAGCGCAGATGAAAACCACTGCCGAGGGGATGCAGCGCAGCGCAACCACTTAGCCCCGGGGGTTTAGATTATCTAGAGCTGTAAGACTGTGTGGTTCTGCTTCTGGGTGTTACCCAACGGGGCTGTGTGCTCACAGGCGTGAAGAAACTGACACCGGAAGGTCCCACACCTGAAGCTTTCCTAGTGCCCCGAACTAAAGACAGCTCAGATGCCCGTCACCGAGAGAACCGAGGACAGCCTGAGGTGTGTTCATTCAAAGGAGCAGCGTACAGATAGAATGGGTTACAGCTGTATGCCACAGTCTGTGAAACTCATGAACTCGAAGACTTTATGATTCTACTTTTGTAAAGTACAAAACCACAGTTCTCAGGGAGGAGGGCTTAGGTAACAACAGGATGAAGAAAAGCAGGGAGTGGTTACCGTCAAGGTCATGTCGTGCTCTCTGGGGGCGAAGGAGGTGCAGTAGTTGGTGGGCATGAAGGGGAGCTGGGGAGAGAGAGCAGCCGGCAATGTTCCTTCTCAGCCTGACTGTGGTGTTTGCTCAGGTGTTGCCTTTGTGATAAATTGCTGTGCGCTTTTCTTTAGGTGTGCTAATGTGTCCCAATAAAAAAGATTCTTTTTCTTTTATAAAAATTTTTGCCATAGGGGATGTGTGTTCACCAGAGAGAGAGAAGGAAAGTGAGAAGTCACCCCCCACCCCCAGGAAGGTGAGTATGCTGCAATCCCTTCTCCTTCATTCTTCTCCTGGGATTCTGGGTGCGCATGTGTGCTCACACACACACACACACACACACACACACACACGATGCCCGGCATGAGTTTCAAGCCCCTGGTCTGGGACTTGAACCGCCATCAGCCATGTGGGAGTCCAGTGATGTAACCACTATGCCACCTGCTGGCCCAAGATACCAGGTTTTAATCCCTGGAAACTGGAAATGCAAAAAGGGTCTTCATAGCCTGGACTTAAAGATCTTAAGGTGGGACTGTTATCTTGGACCAGCTTGGCAGGTCCTAAATCAATCATGTGTGTCCTTTTAAGAGGGAGTTTTGACCCCATGCATGAAGGAAAAGGTGACGTGAAAACAGGTGGAGGGATGAGGCCACAAGTCAACGGTTGCTGACATCACCAGGAGCTGAATGAGGGAAGGGGCAGATTCTTCTCTGGTGTCTCCAAAAGGAACTGCCCTGCTGACACCTCAATTTCAGCCCAGTGATACTGATTCCAGACTCATGTCCTCCAGAACTGTAAGAGAGGCAATTTCCATTGTTTTAAACCCGCCAATTGTGGTAACTTGTTACAGTAACCACAGAAAACTCATACACACAGTTATATACCTTCAAGAGAACTCCTAACTTGGACCAGTAGATGGTGGAATGGTTATGTTGCTGGCCTCCCACAGAGTCGACCACAGTGAGTCCAGGACCCAGTGGCTTAAACTCATGCCAGGTGCGTGTGGGTGCATGCCCAAAATCCTGAGAGAAGAATGGAAGAAAAGGGATTGTGGCCACCCCACCCCCCGCAGGGGTGATCTCTTGTTTTCTCTCTGTCTCTTTCTCTCCAGTGAGTGTACATGCCCTATCACAAAAATCTCTCCCTTAAAAAAAAAATGAACTCATTACTAGTGAGGTTGAAGCATTGAGCCAAGTTCTGCTTCTAGAAGAAAGGGACAAGTGCCCCTAGGTGGAGGAAGGGATGCAGTGGTAATAAGGCCCCTGGAGTAGCAAGACCCTAATCCGATTTGCCCACATTGAGCAGCCACTTGGTAAACAGCACTGCATTTATGAGGGAGGGAAAAGGCAGACATAAATGCAGAAAAGTGACAGGAACAGTGCACTTTTCTGAATGTTCCAAGCTCAGATTTCAAGCCGCTAGCTTACTTTGTCTGGTTGAATGAAGTTCCTGTTAGCGTTGATGCTGGTTTGTTGCTAAGGTTCACTTAGGATCTTAGAAGGTGCTAAGTAGTCATTCATGTAGTCATTCACAGTCAGCAAACACCCTGGAGATTTAGAGCTTCCGGACTCTGCTAACCTCAGACTCAACCTCCGACTAGGGCAGATCTTCCGGTTCGTCTACGCAGCCCCTATGCATAGATCAGCTGGGGTGCACCCTCATACAGCTGTCCCGGCCCTCCCTCTCAATCTTCCAACTGAGAACTAGGGTAGGGAGCTCTAACTCTGTATTTTTAACAATTTCACTAGCCTCCTCTCATTCTCGAGCGGATCTGATGGGGATTTCTAGACAGGGCACTCACTTTCTGAGATCTCACCCACCACTTTCACTTTTCAGATCCCATCTTTGCTGCCTTTTAAAACACATGCTGGGCCAGCAGGTGGCGTGCTGGTTAAGAGTGCTGGATTCCCACATGGCAAGGTGTGGTTTGAGTCCCAGACCTGGCAGCTTGCTTTCTCACTTTCCATCTCTCTCTCTCACTCTGTCCCTTCAGGCCAAATTAAAATAAATTAATTAAATAAAATAAATTAAATAATTCTTTTTTAAAAAAGAAAACACATGCAAAGCTGAGCATCAACGGAGGAGACGGGTAAAGAAAAAGAAAACGCTACCGATCAGCATGATGACCAAGTTAGCCGCGCCGTATTTCTCTATCTCGTGAATCCAGTGAGGGACCGATTCGAACGTGGAGTGCCGGGTCAGGTCGTAGGCTATGATGGCTGCGTGCGCACTGCGGTAGTAGCTCTGGGTGATGGTGCGGAAGCGCTCCTGGCCAGCGGTGTCCCACACCTGCATCTGGACACAGAAGAGAAGAGTCTGATGGGGAGTTCCCGCTCATTCACCTAAGTTCTCTCACAAAGTTGTCCAGGTTGGGACTAGCAGGTGGCATGGGTGTTAGACACTCCCGCATGGCCCACCAGGATTTGAATCCTGGTCCTGGTGGCTTGCTTTCCCACTTTCTCTCTCTCTCTCTCTATCTCTGGTCAAAGTAAAAAAAAATTAAAGTTAAAAAAAAAATGTTTTCCAGGTTGGGAGGTCAGCAGGTGGCATGGTGGTTAAAGGCACTTGGACTCCCACGTGGCTGACTGCGATTTGAGTCCTGGACCTGGTGGCTTGCTTTCTCGCTTTCCTCCTCTCTCTGTCTCTGATCAAACTAGAAAATAATAATAATAAATAAATAAAGTTAAATACAATAATTATTTTAAAAAACATATTTTTCAGGTTGGGACCAGCAGACAGCATAATGGATTCATTGCTGAACTCCCATGTAGTCGACCATAGTTCAAATCCCAGACCCGGCAGTTTAAAACTCGTGTCAGGCATGTGTCCGTGTGTGTATGCCAAGGTCCTGAGAGAAGAATGGAGAAGGGACTGCGGTGTGGCCAACCCCGTTGAGGAGATGATTTCTCACTTTCTGTTTCTGTCTCTCCAGTGAGTGCACATACCCTATAGCAAAAAATCTCTCTTTAAAAAATAAAAGGGACCAGCAGTTAGCATAATGGCTATGTCGCTGGATTCCCATGTAGTCGACCGCGGTTTGAGTCCCAGACCCGGGGCTTAAAACTCATGCTGGGCATGTGTTCATGCGTGCCCAAGATCCCAAGAGGAGAACAGAGGAGAAGGGATCGCGGCGTGGCCATCCCCCCTGGGGATGATTTCTCGCTTTCTGTCTCTCTGTCTCTCTCTATCTGTCTGGCGAGCGTTTCAAATCTCCGCAGTAAGAGGTGCTTTTTAAAAGCATACTTTCAGGGGCCAGAAGGTTGCACCGTGGTTAGGACCCTGGACTCCCGCATGGGCAACTGCAGTGCAAGTTGTGGAGCTGGTGGTTTGCTTTCTCACTTTCCATCTCTCTCTGGGAGCCTATGTGCCCTATAGAAAATTAATTAAAAAGTAATAATAATAAATAAAATTAAAAAATTATTTACCACCCCCCCAAAAAGTTTCCAGGTCTCCCTGCTTGATAATTAGATTCAGTAGGTCTGGGGTGGGTCCAGGAACTCATTCTTTCAGGTGCTCTCTGGGTGATGTAGTCCTTTCAGGTCTGGGAACACCACCTAAGGACCTCTTCTGTTGGAGAGGTGGAGGAGTTCCTCCCCGCCCCCAGGAAGGGGGTTCCTTATGCTTTTTGACTTTTCACCTCAATCATTCCTTGATCTGGGACCAGCAGATGGAGTAATGGTTATGTTGCTGGACTCCCACGTATTCAACCAGGATTCGAGTCCTGGACCCGGTGGCTTAAACTCATGCTGGGCACACATGCGTGTGTGCCCAAAATCCCAAGAGGAGAATGGAGGAGAAGGGACTGTGGTGTGGCCATCCACCCTGGAAGGTGATTTCTCGCTTTCTGTCTTTCTTTCTCTGTCTCTCCATCAAGCTCATGTGCCATATGGCAAAAATTTCTCTCTCAAAAAAAAAAATAAATAAATAAAATAAATAAATCGTTCCTTAATCCAGAGTTTGGGATTTGTCCTTCAGCCTTTTGATTGATAAGAATATTCACAAAGGTGATGACATTGGCTAAAGTATTTTTTTCTAACTTTTTTTTTAATTGCCAGAGGACATATGTATTTGCCAGTGCAAGAGTGAAAGAGAGAAAGAGTAAGGACCCTTCCAAAAGGGCGCCACTGTCCTTTCTCCTGTTTCTCCCTTCCACTGGGATTTAGGGCATGCATGCACACATGCCTGGCAGTTTTTCATGCCACCAGGGCCAGGATTTGAACCTCGGTTGGATGTGGGATTGGCTCCCTATACACTATGTTTAACTGACACACTCTGAGACTGGCCCTGAACTATTTTGATTTTAAAGGACCATTCAAACAGGGCCCACAGGTGGCATAGCAGTTATGTTGCTGGACTCCCACATGGCCGACTGCAGTTTGAGTCCTGGACCCAGTGGCTTGAAAATCATGCTGGGCATGTGTGTGTGTGTGTGTGTGTGTGTGTGTGTGTGCCCAAGATCCCAGAGAGAGAATGTGAGAGTGGCCATCCCCCTAGGGGGTGATATTTCACTTTTCCTCCACGGTCTCTATTTCTCTTCCCCAGCAAGCACATGTGCCCTAAGGCAAAAACTCTAAAAAGAGGAAAAAAGCTTATTTCTTTCCTGCATAAGAGAGAGACACACAGGTTCCCAACAGGGTCTTGATTCCACAATCTACCCCTTGAACCACGGGCAGGTGTTCAGCGAAGTGTCCTAACATGAATGTAAACCTTCCCACGTGGCTCAGGCTCACAGAGTATTGCTTCATTGCTGAACCACCATCTGGTCCCCTATCATTCATCTCTTTGACTTTGCTTATGGTATTCATTAAATGTAGAGACGTCAACCTTTATATAGTTACATAGAAATGAATAACTGTGGGGCTGGCAGGTGGTGTGGTGGCTAAGGGTACTGGATTCCCACATGGCCGACTGTGGTTTGAGTCTTGGACCTGGCAGCTTGCTTTCTTGCTTCCCACCCCCCACTCTGTCCCTCTCTGGTCAAATTAAAAAATAAGGAAAGTTAAATAATTATTTTAAAAAATTATTTTATCTAACTTTATTTTTGTTTACTTATTTTAATTTGAACAGAGAGGGACAGAGCAAGAGAGAGAGAGAGGTAAAGTGAGAAAGTAAGCCACCCAATCTAGTACTTGAACCACAATCGGCCATGTGGGAGTCCAGCACCCTTAACAACCATGCCACTGGCTGACGCCAAGTTAAATAATTCTTTGAAAAAAAAGGAAATGAGGGACCAGCAGTTGGCATAATGGCTATGTCGCTGGACTCCCATGTAGTTGACCACGGCTCGAGTCCTGGAACCGGTGGCTTAAACTCACACCAGGTGCATGTGCGTGCATGCCCAAGATCCCGAGAAGAGAATGGAGGAGAAGGGATTGCGACATGGTCAACCCCCTGGGTAGTGATTTCTCGTTTTCTGTCTCTCTGTCTCTCTGTCTCTGTCTTTCTGGCAAATGCACGCGCCCTATAGCAAAAACCTCTCCAAGAAAAAAAAAGAAAGAAACAAGAAAAGAAAAGAAATGAATAAATTTAACCTTTATAGTTAGATTTAGCAATATTTCTCCTGTAACTTCTGGGTTTGTGTCTTACTTAAGACTAATTTCCTCATTCCACAGTGATAAAAATAAACACTCTCATGTTTTCTTCTAATACTTTTATGATTTCATGTTGGAAATCTTTTATTGCTCAGACATGTGTTTTGATGTTAGGAGCTCTGGCTAAGAGGTGGGGCCAACCCGGTGCCCTCTGACCTTGACTCTCTTGCCACTGATCTCGAGGGAGCGCACAGTGAAGTCCACCCCGATGGTATTCTGCTGCGTCTCGGTGTAGACCCCAGACTTGAAATGCTGCACCACACACGTCTTCCCCACGTTGGAATCACCGATGAGGATAATCTTGAACAAATAATCGAAGTTCTCGTCTGCTGCCCTGGCTGAGCTGGAGAGCTGCATAGCTCTTGCCACCTAGAACAGACCTAGGGAGAGAGGAGGGAATTCACCTGCTCTGCAGTAGCACCTGCCAGGTGCCTGGCACTGGGGTAAGGAAGGTCCGGTGTCCATGGTGCTCACATCTCGTGTAAGAAGATGCTAATGATGGGTCAGGGACAGGAGAGTTGGCCCCACAAGCCCACGTCTGCCCGAGGGCGTTGATGTTACCTTGGGAACACTCTCAGGGTGAAGAGTCTCTACTGCCATTCTCTGGTAGGCCAGAAGACAGTCCACACTCTCAGGTCACAGCTTCGATGAACTCCTAGTCCTGGGACCAGGTGTCCTTCGCTCTGTCACAGTGCTCAAGAGCAGGTGAGTGGCAGAGGAAATGCCCACGGCAGCGACTCACTTGCCATCAGTCAGCTGCAAGGGATGTTATATGGGGAGGAAGGTTCCCAGCTCTCAGAAGACTGACCACCAGCAACAAAGACTGACAAGATTTGACTGGGAAGTCAGTTTAGAGAAAAGGGATATGGCCATTTTTTTCTTCTGACTGGCGCCTAATCTTTATTGACCAGGGAATTAGAATTTTGTGACTATTCAAAACTAAAACTGTGGTTAGAATGTTATGGTATATTGGGGCTAACAGGTGGCATGGTAGTTAAGGCAACTGGACTCCCACATGGCTGACCACGATTCAAGTCCCCGGCCTGGCAGCTTGCTTTCTCACTTTCTGTTTCTCTCATTGTCTCTCTCTGGTCAACTTCCCAAAAAACAAAAACAAACAAACAAACACAATAGACAAATAATGACAACGAATAAAACTTAAATAAAGAATGTTATGGGACATATTGGGCCAGCCATGGTCTAGTGTATATGTAAACAGGATCCCATGTTGCTAATTGAGTTCAAATCCCAGATCTGGCAGTTTGAAAAACACAGGGGTGGGGACCAGCAGATGGTGCAATGGTTATGTCACCAAACTCCCATGTAGTCGACTGCTGTTCAAGTCCTGGACCCGGCGCATGTGCGCGTGTTACCACAATCCTGAGAGGAGACTAGTGGAGAAGGGATTATGGCGTGGCCATCCCTCCTGAGGGGGTGATTTCTTGCTTTCTGTCTCTCTGTCTCTCCGGCAAGCACACATACCCTACAGCAAGGAGGAATGGTCTCTCTCCCTCATTTTTTGAATCTTGCTATAGGACATGTGTGCTTACCAGAGAGAGAGAAAGAGGGAAAGTGAGAAAGCAAGCCAGCAAGTTCAAGACTCGAACCATGGTGGAATGTGGGACTAACTATCCTAACTACCACACCAGTGACCTGCTGGCCCTAAGGAAAACACTAATTAGTGCAGTCCTCTACCTGAAACTTTACTCCCACCTTCAGCCTCCCGACTTAAATATCCGCCTATGCTTAAATATGTTTGATCCCAAGGAGTTACTACTTCCGGAAATAAATCCTCTTTGTACCCAGAAGTCCTAACCTTGGTGGGGTTGAAGCCCATCTCCCTGGGGTTTTCATCTCTCAATCCCAGTTCATCTTTGCTTTTCAGAAAATGTCAACTCCTGTTCCACGTGGCAGCCCCTCAGACAGCAAAAACACAGGGGTGGGGACCAGCAGATGGTGCAATGGTTATGTCACCAAACTCCCATGTAGTCGACTGCTGTTCAAGTCCTGGACCCGGCGCATGTGCGCGTGTTACCACAATCCTGAGAGGAGACTAGTGGAGAAGGGATTATGGCGTGGCCATCCCTCCTGAGGGGGTGATTTCTTGCTTTCTGTCTCTCTGTCTCTCCGGCAAGCACACATACCCTACAGCAAGGAGGAATGGTCTCTCTCCCTCATTTTTTGAATCTTGCTATAGGACATGTGTGCTTACCAGAGAGAGAGAAAGAGGGAAAGTGAGAAAGCAAGCCAGCAAGTTCAAGACTCGAACCATGGTGGAATGTGGGACTAACTATCCTAACTACCACACCAGTGACCTGCTGGCCCTAAGGAAAACACTAATTAGTGCAGTCCTCTACCTGAAACTTTACTCCCACCTTCAGCCTCCCGACTTAAATATCCGCCTATGCTTAAATATGTTTGATCCCAAGGAGTTACTACTTCCGGAAATAAATCCTCTTTGTACCCAGAAGTCCTAACCTTGGTGGGGTTGAAGCCCATCTCCCTGGGGTTTTCATCTCTCAATCCCAGTTCATCTTTGCTTTTCAGAAAATGTCAACTCCTGTTCCACGTGGCAGCCCCTCAGACAGCAGAAGCAGCAAGCTTACCCCTCAAGGTGCACATCCCAGACCCTTTAACTGTTCTTCATACACACTGTGTCTGGTCTCCTCATCAAATATCTCATAAAAGTCAATGAAAGCCTATCCCATTTGGTGTTTAAATTTCATGTACTGCAAATTGCTCCTGTCTTAAGATGCTCTTCTTCATCTCTCCTGTTTTATTTGGTTTTCTCTAAAGGAATAGAAAAGGGCAAGCCTATCCAATCATGCAAATTAAAACGCACGCAAATATGCAATCTGTATGTAAAACTGCAGGGCTTTAAAGGGATACGGAAGGATCCCATACCTCTCCGGGATGCCTCTGAAATCACGTTCGGCTGAATAAGTGATCCAGCAGACAGAAAATCCAACTACTTCTTTTACCCCTCTGAGTTTTTCAACCAAAGAAAGCCATTCCACTTCCGGTGTCTTATCACAGTAACTCGAGCCGAAACCTTATTTTCAAGTCTTCCTCCATTCCCCTCCCCCTCCCACTCACCCCGAGTCCTCAGGGCTCCCACAAAAGCCCCCTTTACGTTGGCCTACACCCCCGAAGGAGTAACGAGCGGCTGTGTGCGTCCCAGACGACGCCCCTCCATCCCACGTCCCCACAGCCTCACCTTCCTGGTTCACCTGTTGCTCGCCCGTCCGGCTCCCTCACCTCTGCCAGCCAGCAGGTACGGTTTTCTCACTCCCGATCTCTTCGATCTCTTCGGAGGCCGGAGCCCCTTCTTCCTCCAGCCTCGCTGTGCGGTGGGACCTGTAGTTCTGGCCCCAGATGTCAGGTTTGGCGGCGGAGAAAGCGAAAGGAAAGCGCGATCCCTCCCACCTGCCCGGGTAGGCGCTGGCGCTGCGGCAGGGCACAGCCGGGCGCAGGGGCGCGGGCCAGCACCGGCAGCGCAGCACCTGCTAGGCCGCCCTGTTCCTTTCTCCTCCTCGCCTCTCCTGTGCATCCTTAGTCCTACATTTTCCCGTTTTCCCGGGGGTTGCTTGTTTGACTGAGTTGGGGTTTGTTGGATAAGAGGATATCAATTTAAAGGGCACGAATCTGGGTCTTAAGTTATTGAACCGTTTTGCAGACTTGAAGGGGAAAAAAAAAAACAAATAAAACAAACAAAAAAACAAATTAGACTCTCAAAATAGACCGCGGTTGGGACCAGCAGTTAGTGAGCGTAATGGCTATGTCGCAGAACTCCCATGTAGTCGACGGCGGTTCGCGTC